CTGTCTTGAATTATTATAATAAGAACCGAGGCGTGCATAAAGAAAGTAAATATGGTCAATTTTTATTATGCTTCTGAATTATTAATAGTAAGGCCATAACCGCCTTAGTCAATAGAGGGGACACGCCGCTATGGCTCTTTTCAATGCTTTATTCATAAACTATTACAGATTAGGACATCTAAAATCCTAAATATGTGATTGCTGCCTTTTTAATAAACATTATTATAGATAATTTAAAGGGATAGTTCTCCCAAAAATGAACATTTTGTCATAATTTACCCCAGGGTTATTATAGTTAACTAAAACTAAAACCATAAAAAAAATTGTTACTTGAAATAAATTAAATGTTAACTGAAAAAATATATATATATACTGAAATAACTATATATTATATACATTATATTACATATAACTTTTCATCCTCAGCATTTCTCATTTTAATTTAGTTTAAGTTGACGTACTAAAATTACTAAAACTAAAACTGAAATAAAAAAATGAATAAAAACTACAGATATATTTCTAAAAACAAATACCAATAACTAATAAATATGATAGAATTATGAAATATAATGGCAAAATGAAAATATGAAATAAAAAAATTAACTAAATAAACAAAAGCAAAATTAATAAAACTTTAATAAAAATAAAAAACTAATTCAAACTATTACAAAAATATACATAATATCTCAGTGATACTCATCATGTCATTTTAAACCTGTCTGACTTTCTTCTATGAAACAAAAAAATATATTTTTACAAATTATTTTTTTGTATGTCCCAAAACAGCTGGCATCATCTTTTAGAGCTTCAGAAATTTTTTTTTTATTTCTGCGTATAAGTGAAATAAGTGTACTTTTTGTTTATTTATTTTTTAGAGTGTGCATCTGAAGAGCCTGTAAAATCAAGAACGTTTTTCCACTACAAAGAGCCTTTTGTGCTTTGGATGCTGAAGGTCCTTCATGGCACAATGCACCGCAAACTCAACAGTGTAGTTCACTCAAGAACCCAAAAGAATAAAAGAGTTAGTTCAAGAAGTAGTTTAGCAAAAAAATACAAATAAAAAATGAAAACCTCATGTCATTCCAAACCTATATGGTTTGCTTTCTTCTGAGTAACACAACATATATAGGAATGTTAACCAAGCTGTTTTGCTGACCATTTGACTTCCACACGGGGAAAAAAACATTTCAAATCTCTCAAAATCTCTTTTTTATGTTTTTACAGAAGAATGTTAGTCATACAGGTTCAGAAAGAACATGAAGTTTTCATTTTTGGTGTACCATCCCTTTAAGGTGACACTTAGGAGATCCCCCAACACTTTTCAGTAGAATTCATTCGTTCTAGTTAACATGTTGACCACTCTGCGTAATTGTCATGTACACAGTGGTTTTCCATCCGTTTGTACCCTTCCTCTATCCTCGTGCCCTGTGTAGTGTTAATTATTAAGGGATTTTCATAGTCAGTGTGTCTGGTCCTTAAACCCTTCAAGATACAGAAGCGTATACGAGTGTTACTTGATCCTGAATCTACTTTGACATCAGCGGTGGCAGGAGTGCACGGCGTGCATATTAAACCCTGTCTGTGCACTGCACAAGTGGGAGAGCGTCTACACGAAATGCATATATTGCGTACAAACTGAGCCGTTCGTTCACCTTTCAAACACTTAACTGAACCCACAGTGAGCCGGTTTCTGCATCCTGCTGTGACAGCATGACGGTCTGTCACGTCACACAACACAGACTCTAGTCATGTGGTTAAAAATGCAGCCACTGTAGCCTGTCTGTAAGGATGGGGCATGTTTAATATATAAGAGTCAAGCAACAAAACAGAAGAAAGCTGCTGGTGGCCCTTAAAAGATCATGCCATTTTTGCAGTTTACATGTGGGCTTGATTGCATATATGTGCAAAAGAGAGAAAGACGGTTCCAGTAATATCAGAGTCATTTATTTATCAATGCATATATATATATATATATAGAGAGAGAGAGAGAGAGAGAGATTTTTTTTTTTTTTTTTGGAGGCAGTCCTAGTCTGCGTCATGCCCTATGTGTGGCAAAAATATGATCAAAGAAAGAAAATTGTTTTAAAAAACTTACTAGTTTGTTAATACTAGTATCTAGTATTTGATTTGAGAGGACCTAACATGACCTAATGACCTAACATAATAATAATAATAATAATTTTGATTAATTAAACTGAATCAAGATTTCTTGTGAAATACAAAAAACTATATTAAAATAATAATTATTATTATTGTTAACATATTGTTTGTATTTCACAAGACAACAATACAAACTACAATAATAATAATAATAACAATAATAATAATAATAATAATAATAATTTCCTTTATTAAAGAAATGACAATGTCTTGTGAAATACAAAACATATAATACATTGTTATCATTAATAGTAGTAGTAGTATTAGTTGTAATTATTTTTATTACTATTATATATAGTTGTTTGTATTTCACAAGACATCAATACAAACTACAATTATTATTGCTGTCGTTGTTTGTATTTCACAACAAATCATTATTTAATAAATCAAAAAGATTGTGCAGCTGAACTTGAATATCAGTGATGATCAGCAGCTTTGATATTCTGATAATAATTCTACAGGATGTGTTCTACAGGAAAATAGTTGTGAGTTTTTTAGTTTTGAGTGGCATATAAGGGTGGATGAATGATGATAAATTTAAAGTAAATTATCTGAACAAGCTGTGACTCGATTCAATTGTGCAAAATTAGATGTGAATGGGTGATTTCTGTCCTAGAGCTTTAGACAAGCATGTTTTAATCTATAATCCTGCAACTTAATTATCAAATGTACATTTTTTTTTTCTGCTGATGACATTAGACTGAACACAGTTGACACAATAAGGAGCAAACGACAGTTCATCAGTCACCAAGCCCTCAGTAGAGAGCATATCTCTCTCATACACACACAATGAGTTTGAGCTGCAGTGTAAGAGGATTTCATTCATCCATATTCACTGTATCGGACAGACTCGCGCAGTTTCTCGGTCAGCGTGGACTGGGGGGCATAAGCACTCGGTGCAAGTCACTTTCTTGCTTGAATAAAGTCTATCCCCGATGGGCCAGGAGGAATAACTTAAAGGGGTCCTATTATGCTTTTTCCCTTTTTTAATTTTAGTCAGTGTGTAGTGTGTATGTTTGGGCAGAAAAAAGATCTAGAAAGTTACAAATCTCAAAAGTCCACTCCAAAGGGAGATATTTCGTTTTTTTAAATCCCTTTTCAAGAACTACTACGAACGACTCGTTTGGACTACAGCGTTGGTTTCCGGGCTTTGTGA